GAAGCAACGGATCCTAAACACACCCTTTAGCATGAATCACCGCAGAAATCGCAATCGTTGCAGGCTCAAAGACTCCAGAACCGTGTAGACGACCTCGAGGCCCTGTTAGCACACCGAAATGAGAAACTTGTGTCTTACCAGTCCGAGTGCAAGCGATTAAAACAAGAGCTCCGTTCCTGTAGACAGGCCAATACGCAGAGCCACCAGGAGATTAAAGAGAAGGACTCCCAGATTCACATCTTAAACCATAAGGTCACGCAGCTGTTGAATATGGGACCCTCCCTATTCCCGGGGTCACCAATGACTTACCGGGCCGACAAGGAACTACCATCTCCAGCGTCGAACAACTGGATAGGCACGGGCTCTCCAAAAAAGCGACCAGGAGATATCTTGCAGCCCCACAATACCAACTTAGCTGCGCAGTCGCACCACAAGGGCAAAGGGCGTCGATCAACAGTCACCTAAAGGCGTCAGTTTCCGGGGCGAGTTTTGATAGCCGTACCAGCATGTTATTTCATTCGGGGGCGGAGAGGTTTCGTTGAGGATGTTTGCTATTAGCGATGTTTGAGGGTTGGCTGTTTGATCCGTCATGCCGAGAATGTAAATATTAGTCCCGAGTATCAATTCTGCGGATAGCAATAATAGTTGTTGAGAGTATCAAGATTCAACCGCAGAGCCTGAAGTAGACGCCAAGACCTCCGGCACCGCATGACGCCAAGCATCCAACCTCACCTCCGCATGACGCCCGGCAAGCGGTCATCAGCACATCCTGAACGCCTGTTCGCTGAGATCAACCACATCGAAGGATCGAAGCGCCGTGAGTCTTGAGTCATCCTCTGCTTTACCCAGGTGATCCCGACGTGCGTATAACCTTTGCCACACGCAATGAGCCGGGCTGCTCTGACAGCGTCCACTCGCTAGCGTTTCGTACACTGCCCAGCCTTGTTTGCCTGGCGACTGGAATCAGCCGAGTGACTTCAGTCATCTTCTTCCTCTTGACGACAGCGCTGACAAGAGTAACTCTTTATCATGCGAGCCAGTCATTTTGCTTCTCGTTCCGTGCTTCTCTCTGCCTGTACGCCTTGAGCCCCCAGTTCATAAGGCTCTTGCCTAGCAAGCGCTTTCTCTGTGCCTACCTGAAGCTCCGCTGCTTATTTCAACTTCACACGTTTCCTTTTCCGTCTCTTCCCCCTCTTCTCGTTTCCACCGCCCAAAAGACGGGCTTTGCAGTCTCCCTGCCCTTTCATGCTCCTGTCCAGCCTTCAAATACCCAAGATACCCCAAGACAACGATGGGCGAGTCGTTGGGACACCCAGCAGAGATGAGTCTGGGACGCCATCTGTCTGAGACCCCGGGCGAAAGGCGGGGCCGTGCTCGGGGCAATTTTCATCGAGTTGAGAGTCAGCTTTCTGTTCATATATTGCATTCTAGGAAATCATTCCTGATTTCATGGGCAGAATACCTCGCCTCGCTACTGGGCTGGGGACAACCTAGGACAGCGCCTGCGGATCCCAAACGTCATATCGTCTGGCTGTTTAACAACACAGCTTTCCAGCCTGCAACCCAGCATGAACCTAACCCTCACGACCCATGGAGAGTCGAGGTGGTGGCAGCTATTTTCGAAACTCATAGCCGTGAAGACCTTGGGCTGCTTATAGCTGTAATCGCAGATCTCATTGGTCTGGATGGACAAGTAGGACAAGACCCCGTACTGCGTAAGCGGATAGCAACCCGACTCCAACCTTTCGTCAGCGAAGTCGCCCCCGCTCGGTTTATCTCTGTGGACGTCCCCCTTGCGCCTACAGACGTTCACAAGTACAAACTCAGCCCTTCTAACCAACACGGTATTATATCCCATGCTATTCGTATGGAATCTGATCGGCCGGTACGAGATGGCACTGTTGTATCTCCGTCGTTGAGGCACTGGCCTTCGCTTGTCGCCATGAACACAACCTTTGCTACTCCAGAAGGCTGGCTGGTCGTGTCAGATATCGATGACACCATCAAGTACACCATGACCCCGGATGCCATTGGGATACTTCGAACAACGTTTGCGGAAGACCCGAAGCCAATCTGTGGCATGCCGCAACTTTATGTCCATATTCAACGACAACTGCTGCCGACGTGGTTTTATCTGTCCGCATCGCCTTACAACCTTTACCCGTTCCTTCGTTCATTCCTTGAACAATTCTATCCGCCAGGGACGATGATACTTCGCGATAGCTCGTGGCAATCTTTGGCAGGCTTGTTGCAATCTTTCACCCAGGGACCCAAGCGTACAAAGTTGACCGCATCCAAAAGATCCAAAGCTGGTTCCCGAAACGAAGGATCTTATGTATCGGAGATTCGACTCAGAGTGATCCAGAGGCATATGCAGAGATGTCTGAAAAGCACGGTCTGTGGATCAAAGCTATTTTCATAGACGAGTGATGGGTTTGCCGAACATGGATGAGAAAAACTCTCCAGAAAGATTTGAAGAGGGCATTCAAGAGCGTTCCTCGAAAGTGTGGAGAGTGTTTTGAAAGCCGGAAGAGCTATATGGACCTATCGACGACCTTCTTCGCCGCTACCCCTCGATGCAATGATACTCCCCTACGGAAACGACCGCCTCACACGCTCAGCTAATTCCTCAGCACCCCTATATATGGCTTAGTGGCGACACCCGTCTGTCCTTGCCACGTGATATCTGTTTGTTTACGGAGCGGTCGGTCTTTGTTTGGGGGAGTCATTGTTGATGGAAGGTGCCGGCCACAGAACGAGCAAGGAGAAGGCTAAATAGCAGACTCTGCTGCCTTTTTTGCTAATAGGGTCTGATAGTCTAACGGTCAACGGCCGCGGCGCTATCAGGTTCCCGCCCTATTACTTTGCTACTTTTCTGTCGCTGGTTCGAGTCGCTTGACCACCAGTCTGTTATTTCTCCCTGTAAAAGATGGGTTTCATCTTTTTGTTATTTTTATATGCCCAACATATCCCCTAAAACCCTTTTTTATTTAATGAGTATTATGAACACTTCCTTTTCTTCCTACACTCTTCTGACCCCGAAGCCATCGTTATATCACTATCAGTTTGGGCGTTCTGGTGGAATTTTCTGCTCTTGCCTTGAAAATGTCCAGGCACTACACTTCCTGTATGAGAACAATCGGCGCCCGCTTTTTTTTTTTTTTTTTTTAAATTATTTACCGCTTTCTTCCCTGTAAGCAATGAAGACGGCACTTTATGACTTCTTTGCAGCTGTTAATCCCCCAGTCCCTGATATTATTTGACCTCAGAGCAAAACAATGGCGTTTAATTGTCTGCTTAACTCTTTCCATTCCTGGACGCTCTGTTAACATGTAACTATCATAATTGTAACTGTATTTTCTAGCCTTCAGGGCGACTCTCTTGCTAATGATAGCACATGGCACCATCAATGCCTTGTCGCCGGCGATCCTCCTGAAGTCTTGGCGCTGTTGATCCCCAAAGTACCGATTACATCATTGCTTAACTTGCCAGGCCTTTTTGGATTTCAACAACTTCCAGTTTTGATATTGCCAGGAGGATGTAAGTAGCAGGAATAGCAGCCTTACTGGAATATGTGCAATGCCATGAACCCGTATTGGGCTCCAAAACAATCGCGCTGATTATCTCCCAGTGAGCTACGTTGAAAGTCTGAACTTTACTCAGTATAGAGAAGACAGCTTCTAACACCCCTTTCAACCTCAGGGCTACGTTCAAACGAATATTGTTGGTCTAGAGTTATTGGTTCCACTCTCACCCGATCTACTCGTTCGAATTGCACAATCAGACTAGAAACGTTTTCGTCACTCCAGAGACACGATGCAGCCGACCGGAGCGAGCGAAGAGCTTATCCCCCCTACAATGCCAGCGGTATATCTTCCAGCGCCCCCGAGTGGGAAGAACCGGAAGCCAAAGCCCTCAAACCTCATTTACAAAGCCGACTTTCCTACTCCACATTGCACCGAAACACAATACTTGGTCAAAGTCAGTGCAACTGCGTTGTGCCCCGGCGAACTTGAGTGGCCCCATCTTCTTCATCGGAGAGAGAACGGGGCGGTGATTGGGCACGATATATGTGGAACGGTTCTGTCCACTCCAGTTGCAGACGAACATTTGCCTGACGGCCCGCGCTTTAAAGTCGGGGATCGGGTATTCGGCCTGATTGAGCTGGCTAGGGATGGCGGTGCGGCGGATTGTGTTGCGGCTGAGGAGGAGGAGTTGGCGTTGAAGCCGCAGAACATTTCTGCGGTGGAGGCGGCGAGTATACCTCTCTCCGCGCTAACAGCATATCAAATATTGTGCGAGCACATTTTGTTCAAGGACTCAATGAAAGAATACGGGAGGCACAAGGATCTCCCATTCCGAATCCTTATTTTGAACGGCACCGGAGACGTTGGCATTCAAGCAATTCAGATCCTGCGATCGAAATCCATTTGGCGTGGCTATCATATCTGGGTTTGTGCCACAACCACTACCACAGAGCATGAACGGTTCCTGAGAGATGAATTGCACGCCGACGAAGTGCTGAACTCCGTCGAGAATCCAGACCTTGCTCAGGTTTGGAAGCACAGGAATTGGCCGCAAGTGCATCTCATTCTGGATTGCATGGGCGGTGGAGCGCTATCACGAGCCTGCATTCAGGGCATTTTAGATAAAGCCGGGGCCACAACTAGTGCACTGGAAGCAATTTGCGACCCTGACAAGCATCAGGTAGAAGGTGGATATTTTGGTGTGAAACCGAACGGAGTGCAGCTGGGAATGATTAGCAAACTCGTTGAGGACGGCGAAATTAAGCCGTATGTTGACAAGGTCTTTGAACTACACGAGGCAAAAGAGGCCATGGAGTATGTCGAATCCAGGAAGGCAAGAGGTAAAGTCGTGGTGCATGTCAATTATGATTAGCTTCTTCAGCGGTAAGGGGTATATATCACCACCGATCCCCAGATCAGGTGGAGGGACAATGAACAATTTCAAGTTGTATGCGCCGTCTTAAGGATCCTTCTTTTGTTGATTCATGGAAAGAAACCATAAAGGAAACGAGCTGCGAAAAGGACCGAAAGGTTCTGAAGATGGCTCAGGAGCTTCAAAGAAATCCTCAATGACCCTGCTTTCTATTCAGGGCAAATCTTCATTTCTGCGCTTGTGAAGAAATCTGCCTTGTAAAGAAGTTGTCAAATTGGCCCATCAAATGGAAACGGGCTGAGGATTCAACAAGTGTGGCAAGGCAGTTCGAAGAAGGGAAAATTTCACATTACCTAACAAATCAACAAATTAAAGAGTAAAGTGAAAGGAAGCAAAGAGGACAAGAGAAACGGAATGAGAAGTAAAGAAAAAGAGGAAAACGTCAGTAATCCCTGCACATATAAAGCAGAAATATTTTCAGCAGGTTGAGAAAGAGCAGAAGCCCAATTCATCAACTATTGCTCATGTCTCCATCGATTTTAAACCATAGCACTTTTGGCTGCTGGCTTAAGCATATGCAACACAAATAAAGGGGATGAGAATGGCGCTATGAAAGCAATCAATTTCAAGCATTCGGTCCACATAACCTGCTTAATATTTAGTCCGTTGGGCAGAGGAGGAAAATGGATTCAATATGGACATAAAAAAAACAGAATACGGGCCCATAGGGATAAATACATGACAGGCAGCAATGATTCCGCATGAGAAGAACAAGAGAGGTATCCAGCAAGTGAAAGTAGAACTTCCCGCTCAAAGCAGTGAATCAAGACGAGTAAACACATTTAGGCATGCCGCCACAACCTGTTTCAAAGTAAGTATAAGTCAGTTGTGTAGGCAGAATAAGGATTTTCTTAACTGACCTCTAACTGAAGCTCCCTATCCTTAGCCTTGTCAATTTCTTCTCTGACTACCTGCGCCAGGTTTGCTCCTATACCCTGTGTACCACCTGTTCGTAAGGAAAATGGCCATTGTGAATAATCAGCCAACAGCTCATCCACCTGAGAAAAAGCCCTCTCCCGTGCATCATGGTTCATAGTGACCAGGCAATTCTCCAGGACATTAGCAGCATAAGATGCGCAGACCATGGCTATAGTCCTCAAGTACCTGAATTCAACGCCATTTGGAAGGTACTGAGTTGGTGGTAAGATGACAGTGCGGTTGCTGCAAATGTTACGAACTCGCTTGTTAAGGTCTTCTTTTGCTGCGGGATCTGCGACCGGATGTGTGGCCATATCGAAGAGAAGGAAGTTTCGTTTTTCAGTGCGGAGGACACCTTTGTCAACAAGGCCCTTTGCGAGTCTCTCTCGTACTTGTTTGAGCTGGTAGCCGATCTTCATTAGGTTCCAAGTCTCACCTAAATATCTCCAGTTAGCAGTCGCATTCAACCAAATTCTGAAAACATAGATATCTGTATGTGCATACCGCTCATAAGATCAATCCATGAGCTGACACTCATCTTCTCGCTTGATTTCATCATTTTCAGAGCTTCATCCAGCAAGACTTCTCCAGTTAAACTATCATCAATAACTTCAATCACCCGGTCAGCAAGTGGGAAGCGTCGACGTGAAGAGTCTTTCTGCATGCTGATTCGACCGCGGAAGGCTAGTTCAATCACGATACATCCTCGCAAGGCATATGAGATGTTTTCATTCCAGAAAGAATAGTAACCCTAGCAGAAGCAATTGTGTTGTTAGTAACGCGTGCAGGCGACATCATGAGGCACTCCGGACTCTCCTGATATAACAAGATGCCCATAACAGCGGTGGACGACATCTTTCACCATACCTGTTTATCTTTTATTCCAAGCAATAACACCTCCTCCATCAGCGTCAATTTTGGCTGCTTGACCTTCTCTGCACTTTCACTGATGTCTCGCGGATCAAATGCAATCTTGTGTCCATTCTCTCCTCCGATGTATGAGGTTTCAGGCGCATGGTTATCGGATCCGTTATGGGGCGAAGGGGATGCCACTCGACTGCCGTCGCTACCGTCGCCCACGCCTCTCCCTGCTCCTCGACGGCGGGTCAGGCCACTGGTAGTCGCCATGCGTCAAGTATGGAACTCGCTCGTCTAGGGAAAACAAAGTCACGAAGTCGATTTGTGGAGCATGGACTGTCACGAGCAACTTTGAAGAGCAAGGTGCGATATCAGGAACGAGGTGATGTTTCGCGGCGAACGAGAGTGAGAGCGGTTAGGCAACACAAAAAACTTGAGTGGTGAACGATGGAGCAGCGAGGGAACACAATTGATCGGGGATGAGAATACTCGCTGCCAGGACGAGCTTGTTGAAAGAGGAGAGCGTGTCCCGCAGAGAAAGAGGTCAAGGTCAACCGGCGGCTTTCAACGTCCAGAATCTGGTCCGATAGAACTGCTGGGTTATCAGCTCCGGCAGTCTTGGCAGCCTTCCCTCACTCACAGCTTGACAAAAATAGGGGCTGTTGATAGAGCAAAGACAGAGAAGGAAGTGAAAGGATTTCAACACGAGCTTGACTGGAGTTACAAGAGGCTAGATCGCAGTCACCACATTCTCATAAATTGGGATTTCACATCAGCCAGCATTCAATTTCAAACGACAGCCCCGAGAATCCAACAGGAAGCTACTACAAGCGATTCGGCTACAGTGTGGAGAATATTTTCGCAGGGAATAACAGCAATAGACCCAGATTCGGCTATTAAGGATAATTCCGTCTATGCGCACCCCTGCAATTAAAACCAATTGAAGGTATCGTCTTGTGCGAGAAATCTCAATGCATGGATGATATTTGGAAAAATCCCCAAGTTCAGCTGGAGAAGTAAATTGGAAAGAATGGCACTCTAAAACCCCGTTGGAAATCTCAAAGTCCAGATGATATACACAATACAACATCGAACAATCATGGCCTCCTTATGCAGCCGCGATGCCTCACATGTTCGCTTTGTAGGTCTAATACATGGCTATTTTTCCCGGCCGAATTTCCCTTCCCTTTACCGAATGTCCAACCGTACTTAGTGAGCTAGACGCCAGTTAATAGACTGCTGAACATAACAGTCGGGGTCGTTACTGACCATCAGGTTGAGAAAGGATGTATTTAACAGCTTGGTCAACTAATTTGAGCCGGTCAGTTTTCCATAAGCTTGCAGCATTCTAGATGAAATAAGGAGCACATACTGCTGTGGATCGCATCTGCCTCCTTATCTGGGATTTCGATGCTGAATTCCTAGTGAAACGGTCAGCAAGAGACAAGAACGAGAGACCCTCCGAGATTCCAAGCAGCTTTTACCTCTTCAATGGCCATTACAACCTCAACGGTATCCAGGCTGTCCAGTCCGAGATCATTCGTGAAGTGGGAGGTAGGAGAAATCTTGTTCAATTGTGAGATCAAAACACGTCAACGTAGCAACTAGCAGTTATCAAATACCTTGGACGCATCGGTGACCTGGAAATAACGATTCAAATCAGAATTTCATCCTCTCATCAAACGGGCTCATCGGAAGTCTTTTACCTTGTCGAAGTTCTTCAAGAGATCGACTATTCTGCCCTCAACTTCGGACTGCTGGAGCCCGGCTGGTGCAGAATATGATCGGATAATTTGAGAGGGGATGCATGGGACGAATTGGGACTGCCGGACAATGGCAGTGGCTCTGGGGAGTTGACGGATGGTCGATGAGTTCCTCACCGTGCGAGGTATGGAGGCGGCTCGAAGCGACCGGACGAGGGCGGATCGGAACATGTCGAGCGGTTACGGTAGATAAAGAAACCGAAAGCAGCGGATATCCGACGCGGACACAGAAGGATCCTTGAGAGTTGAGCGTTGAGGCGCGGCGTGGGCAGAGAGTCAGAAATCTTTCAGAATCGGTTTGATTGAAGTTCCTGCTCTGGTTTTGGCGTTGCTGGGTTCTGGCCAATCAGCATCGAGAAGAACAATCTGACCTTCACCACCGCTCAAGAGGTCGAAAGCCAGGAAACATTCTCTCGTCTTCAATTGCTGCAATTGACTCACATCCGCACCATGGCGTCGTCAAGGGCAGTCACAAGACTGGTGGCCTACCGGCGCCCCTCTCCTTTGCCGTTTTCCTTTTCCTCGTCGCCCTCCATCAACCGCTCCGCCGTCATACCCGCTTTCTCTTTCTCGACATCATCCTCCCAGAGTGCGACACCACATGGCCCGCCACAGCCTGGCTTTCGCCTACCTCCACCAAAAAGATGGGATCAGAGTGATGAATCTACTTTGGATAAAGCCGGAAAATTCTTTTTGATGACAGAGTTGTTTCGCGGCATGTACGTGGTGCTGGAGCAGTTCTTCAGGCCACCGTAAGTTCTACATTGATTTGTCTTGATAGTCCTTGGATGGCAACTGGCAGGCTCTATGCCTGCAGCCCCTTGCTATCAGGGCAGTCTATCAATAAGGATTTTCTCCTCTAACAACTTTATCCTTTTAGATATACAATCTATTACCCCTTCGAGAAAGGTCCAATCTCGCCACGCTTCCGTGGTGAACACGCATTGCGCCGGTACCCATCCGGCGAAGAGAGATGCATTGCTTGCAAACTCTGCGAAGCTATCTGCCCTGCACAAGCTATCACCATCGAAGCCGAAGAGCGAGAGGATGGAAGTAGACGAACCACCCGATATGATATCGACATGACCAAGTGCATCTACTGTGGTTTCTGTCAGGAGAGCTGCCCTGTAGACGCCATTGTCGAGTGTAAGTGCTTTGCGCCGATTTTGTTTTGAGAAACATATATCCATTGAGGCGATCTCACTGTGATCCGTGTTTGAATGTCTACTGAGTTATTTCTTGGCTATAGCACCCAACGCCGAATACGCGACGGAAACTAGAGAAGAATTATTGTACAACAAGGAGAAATTGCTCGCCAATGGTGATAAATGGGAGCCCGAACTGGCCGCAGTTGCTCGTGCGGATGCGCCTTACAGGTAAAAATAACTCGACAGTTTCATTTTTCAAGTCCTGTCTCAAATTTCAAGCAGCCTTCAATTTGATAGACAGGCTCTCGGTTTCGAGATAGTAATTTATTCATGTCTTTTACTCGTGTATGTACATACATAGTGTGGTGGCCTTATCCGGCTGGTTTCTGGGAGTAGAGCGAATAAGACTGTAGTTCCTATGATGGATTTTTCATTGGCCGACCTTCGCTAATTATAGAAAGAGAATATTTTCTGTCCCCAGTGAATACATGAACAGCATCGACCTATTCATATGTACAAGAATTTTAACCTGTCATTGACTCCGCATGTTGCGCCCACGAAGCACGAAGTAAAATAAAGAAGAAGTAGGCCGAGTTGTTGACTTCCTCACCCAATCCGCAATAGGACGGAGCCCGTCAGAATCAAAGCCATTCGCAGATTTGGCCAAAAGCAGGTATCCACGCACAAAGTCAGGTATCTTCATCAAAGCTCATTTCTTCTTGCCGCCCACTTTTGTCTTAAAACTCCCTTCGAAACCAGGCCTAGGCTTAGACTTGCCTTTCTTCCCCTTCTTCCCTTTCTCTTCTCTCCTCTTTCGGATATTTTCTTCTCTCTTCATCAGCCTCGCCTCTTTGCTCTTGGCCACACCTTCTATCCTCTCCTGCCACTGCTTCTCGCTCTTCTTCTTGATGCCTTCTTTCCTGTTCAATGCCTTTTTGAGTAACGATACGTCATCCTTTACTTTTTCGCCATGAGCTCTCTTCTTCGCAGTGAGCCACATATCTTTCTCTTCAATGTTTGCCCGTTTCTCCTCATCGAGGCTAGCGAGTTTTGCTTTCTTCGCTTCGGCCGCCTTGAGCGCCGTTGTAGGATCTTGCGGCCCCTTTTGCTTCTTCTGCTCGCGAATCGTTGTCAGGTTTGGATCTGTAGCCTGGCCATCTGCAAAGACAACTCGACCAAACGAGAAATTATTTGGTATTGATGCTATAGATTCGGCAGGCGAGCCAGGCGATGCCAAAAGTGAGCCCTTCGGGGAAAACCGTTTAACAATAGCCTCGTCACGAAGTCTGTGCTCCTCCTCTTTGGCCTTCTGGCGTAGCTCCTTCTTGTGGGCACGACGCTGTTCCTCACGTTGTCTCCTAGCCTCTATTAGCTCTTGCCTGTTTTTTGCAGGCTTCCCGTTAAAGCCATCGGCGTGGCGGGCCGCGCGAAGTTCGTCCAGACGCTTTTGGAAACGTTTCTTTAATTCTTCCGGTGTAGATTTTAAAGGTTTTGGTTTCGAATCTGCTTCGTTTATCGAATCTCCCTTCTCATTTCCTGTAGGCGGCGCTATAGAAGATATGGATGAAGTTCCAGAAGGAGGTTTGGATGTATCCAAGACACTCGAGTCGGCTGCAGGTGACGTGGGGGCCGTTGACTCGGCTTCGACATCTTTCTCACGCGGAAACCCTTCAATAGGCACCATCTCCTCTGCGACGTCGTCGCTGTCACTAGCTTCGTCCACAGCAGGTGTGGTCGGGTCTTGATTTGTTGACCTGGTATTTGGTTCTGTTATCTTTTGCTCCCTCGTTTTCTGCTTGCTCTTCCTTTTTTCTGCCTTTTCTGATGCCTTCTTTTTTTGTTTCTCTATCTTAGCTGTTTTCCTCTCTTGCCTTTGTTTCAAGCGTTCATCCTCTTCATCCCCAGTTGTGGTATTGTTGCTACTCGTTGCTTCGACGGGCTGGCCATCGTCGAGCTGGTTTGCCTGCTTTTGCTTCTTGGGTTTATGATCCGCACGCTTGAGACCTTCGAGAGGCCTTTCAGAGCCGATTTCGGCATCTTCTGATTCAGGCTCTCCGTCTTCACGTTTTCGCTTGCGTGCATTCTCATCCATAACATCCTTTGCTGTTTTAGCCGCATCCGGGTCTAATTTGGCTCGTTTGGCATTTCTAGCCTGTTCTTTTGTCTGTTTCTTTCGTTGCCATTGATCCTAATAGCCATATATATTAGCCTCGAGAACATCACTATGATTTGCAAATCCTAGAATGCTCAATATAATAAAACAAAGTACTGTACTGACACTTGTATCTTCTCCATAGTACAACTTGGCTGGAATCAAAGATAACAGTCCATCAAAGGCATTCGCATGGCTGCGAAGGCGCTCCTGGAAGCGAATGTCGGTCAGCAAGTTTGTGGCGATTGAGGGGTCAGGTTGAACGCACCTCTAAGCTGTCTGCCATGATTTTCAAACAATTAAGAAGCAGGCCGAGAATTTTCTTAGGATAAGTAATCTATTCCTACAGTTGCTCCCCTTCTGCGCCGCTCTAATCCTAGCTTGAGTGCTCTCGTGTGGAGAGAAAATTATTTGGGTTGACAAACACAAACGGAGCTTTCGTGGTGGTTCGGGGATTCAGAAATTCCAGTTCCGCTTCACTAGCTTCGGAAGTTCACAGGTCCTTGCAACACAATCCCATTTGCACGCTCAATTGGGTTAATATGAATGGAATTTGGAAACAGGTGTTACTTAGGTCTGATTGTTACTCCTGACTTCAAAATTTGTTTAATGCAGGCAACTATCTATTCAACACAAGTCTCCCAACAGAATTAGTAAAAGAAGCACTGATACAAAAAAGAAAGAAAAAGAAAGTATTGATGACTAGACTGGGGTTCGATCCCAGGACCTTATCGGAACCAGTGGATGATCCAACTGTGAACGATACGTGATAACCAACTACACCATCCAGCCATTTCTGAAGCCTGAGCGGGCTGTGAAATCCTATCTTCCAGTATTAAACGACTGCGCCTGTCAGGACACACCATGCTACCTACAAACTCCGCCTTTTCTGGGTTGATGTATCCGCAACATTTCAGCAACACATTTACTCAGCATGAAGGTTGTTGGGAGCAAAGTTTACCTGGTGGCTAAGACTCAATACGCCGCCTGTTGAAGAATGGCTTGTGTAACTTCTAAAAAACATACTTATGCACCTAGACATTCAGCAGCATGCTCATGTTTTGCTGTTGTGAATGTGCTACATGGCCACAAAACAGAGATCATCTCCCAACAATGGGGGCCATTCTTTATCAAGACCTGTGTATCCTGATTCATCAGTAAGAAAGAGAAAAGCCTGGATGAGAATTTGACATTTGATGAATTTGAGGATCTTTAGTTCAACATCGGTTTCTGCTATTCACTTTAACACCATCTCACAACCAACATCAGCTTTAGCCATTTTGACTTGATTGTCTCCGCAGAAATGTGAATGGAAACTATTCGAACTCGCTCAAATCCCTTGGCCGAATCCATAAGCATCAAGTTACTCGGAAGGTTCAAACTCAGGAAATCCGTCGCCAGCGCGTACTGGGGGTAGATAGGGCATAGAAAAGCGCCTCCTCTCTAGAATAGTTGCTCTCTCATTCACTAAAATAACGAGGTGCCATGTTCAGTGTTGCTTCCTTCAGACTATGACGTCCCCGTCCTTTGGCAGCTGACCTGCAACTTGCTTTGAGATGAAGCGTTTGGGGCAGACAGGGTCGTGGTTTTCCGGATGATGCAGGATGGTGTTGCTCTCGGTACTCCGTATTAACCCATTATTTATACTGTGGCCAAAGACTCGAAAAACATCAGTGACTGAAATTAACAACAGTTTATTCGATAAAGGCTCATTGGTGCTGCTTCAAATAGCTTTCGGCACCACAAGTGACTATTGACAGCGTTGGAGTACCGAGTTTCCCACAGCGGAGAGTACATATGTTGTCGTTATCAGTTCGGATTAATATTGCGCTTGGGTCATTGACCCAAACCCCTGCCGATTGTTTAATCGGCCAAATCTCGTGCAGTTTACCGAGGACCCTGATAACATCCTAACAGCCATGATCCCTGGAGATTTCAATATTTGATGCTTGAAACATTTGACGACTCACTTTCAACATCGAAAAATGTCTTTAAAATTCAGAACATGGTTATTTATGAAAGACTCAAATAATTCAGCGGACTCATGTTTGTGTTTTAAAGGCTTTGGGGCCGCGTTAAGGAAGAGGATGCTTTGTTTCGTTACCTTGAAGCTATGAGCCCCGCGTTGTCAGCTCTGGTTATTGCAAGACTACGAAGTCGACGGCTGATGATCAGGGGCACCATGATCATCTCCCAGTCCACACAAACTTGCCATTGGAAGTTCCTTTCCCACCTCCAACTTCACCTTGCGGTTGCATTTGAAGTCCACCGCTCATATATTGGCTTGCAAACGGCTAGAATTCTCCTCGGGATCCGTCGCTCTCTCTCGGCAGCCGGTCGGAAAACTCTCCCTCCCCCGGCCATCGGATCCTCCCCATCAATGACCCGTCAGGAATGGCCCCTGCAGAACGGCATGGCGGAGACGGAGTACACGCTGGACTTCGGAGCCACGTTTGTTGCCTGATGACCCAGCTGACAGGCATCACCCTTTGACCAGTTGGCCAATAGCCATGAAGTCGCAGCGGATAACATGGAACAATGATCTTCAGCATTTGGCCTGTTCACAACACTAATAAGGTGATTAACTAAATGTGGAACTTGGCTGCACATTCGAGAAACATGCCTAGAACTAACTTCCCCATGGGGAAACTTCACGCATTCCCAATTCAATCATTATTGAAGAGGACCTGACTCCCAGACCGTGGATACTTGAATTCATGATTTATGCCCCCGCTATGCTCGCGAGGATGAATAAGGATTGCCGATATGATAACCATGTCAGGGTTGATCTTCGGAGAGGGGAGGTGCTTTCAATGCCTGGAGATGCTTGGAGCAGTCCCACGTCGTACCAACGATCGGCTGGATGTTCACTCTCGAACCCATGCCACTTTAATTTACCTTGGAGAGGATACCCTCCGAAGATAACCTGGCTTGACCTATATAATACCCAAGAGCCCAAAGCCTAAGTTCAGGTTTGGTTGCTTCCGCTCGTCCATTCCATTTTTGAACCTATGGTTCTTGTTATGCCCATAATGCAGTTGCTTAGAACGAGTCTTTTGCTCCTATTGCCCTTTGTGGCAGCAAGTCCTGTCCCATCGGACGACAAAGACATCATCCCCGGGAAATACATTGTAACTCTGAAAGATGGTATCACGCAGGCGGATATGGATTCGCATAAAGCTTGGGTCGCCAATGTGCACCAATCGAACCTCGCCGCTGCTGCATCGGCAGGCCGAACTGGAGGGGAATCCGGGGGCATTCGCAAAATTTTCCAGATTAACAGCATGAACGCGTACTCTGGAGCTTTTGACGAGCAGACTGCTGAGGATATCAAACGCCACCCAAATGTAAGCCGATAAGATGCCTCCTCTTGTTGTCTTGCCAGCCGCTAAACCGGACATAATCCGATAGGTTAAATCTGTTTACCCCGACCGAAAGGCGTACCTTGCAGAGACCGTCACGCAAAACAATGCGCAATGGAACCTTGGACATATGTCAAGCAAGGGCAGAAGATCCTTCACCTACAGATATGATAGCAAGGCAGGAGAAGGAGTATGGGCATATGTTTTGGATACTGGAATCATGACCGATCACGTCGAATTTGAAGGCCGGGCTATTTTGGGTTATAACGCTGTCCCAGATGTCCCTCATGTAGATAATGTTGGGCACGGTACGTATGTCGGCGGCATCATTGGTGCAAAGACTTGGGGTGTTGCCAAAAAGGCTACTGTGGTGTCTGCAAAGGCCTTCCACGGCACATCGGTGGGTGCTCTTCGATACGTCCTTATTGAACCTGTTGCTGAATCGCACTCTGGCAGGGCTCATATGAGCATATTTTCGATGCATTCAACTGGATCGTCAAGAACATCACCGAGAGCGGGCGTCAGAAGCAGTCCGTGATCAACATGAGTATCAGTATGTTTGTCCTGAGCAGGTGGCATGCTGTTACATTATCGGTGCTAAGACATTACAACAGCTAGCGCAAAGTACCAACCATTCGACGATGCCGTGGAGGAGGCGTTTAAAGCTGGTGTCTCAGTCGTCGTTGCTTCTGGAAACAACGGGGTAGGCAATCTGGGTATCAAGTGAAAGAGCATTATACTGACACGTTGGTATAGAGAGATGGAACAAACAACACTCCGGCATCGGCTCCCAACGCTATCACTGTAGGATCAGTCCGCTTTGATAATACCCGATCATACTTCTCCAACTATGGACGGGTCGTTGATATTTATGCTCCGGGTGAGAGAATCACCTCCTGCTGGATGGGCGGAAGGAATGCAACCCGCAAATCTGACGGGACATCGGTCGCATCTCCCCACGTTGCTGGCCTGGTTGCCTACTTGATGAGCATTGAGGATCTCCCCACCCCGGGAGCGGTCACCAAGAGGGTCCTCGAACTTTCCATCCCTGATTTGGTCAAAGACCCGGGAGCCAACACTGCCAACCGCCTTGCCTACAATGGTATCCGGGAGAGAAGTTAAATACCAAATTTCTTTTTCTTGGGTCGGAAATGGAGCTTACCATGTATATATACCGAGCCCCTGTTGAAATACGGGCTGCTGTATGATGCTTCCTCACCATGTGCATAAACAATTTCTTCTCAAATGTTATTTTCCCTGGGAAGCCCCATCAAAAAAACGCAACAAAGTCATTTCACAAACAGTTCAATAGATTAGCAGCTGTTCAATCATGACCAACTTGCGGAGTGTTGCGCCATAGTTCGCAGATTTGTTTGTCTGGACGCAATTCCCCAAGCGAGATGAGTGATCGTCCTTTTGCTCTCAAAAAATTAGTCCAACATAAGCACTTCCCGTAAGCTAGCTTCAGCTTCAGCTAAATACGGGTAAAAGCTGGGAGATCAACACTCCATCTCAATTGTCTCTGGCAGGAGTCATGCTCATGCGCAGCTGAGATTGTTAGAAGTAGGTTGGTGGCTGAGTGACAAGCGGCTTTTTTACGCCACAGATCTAACCCGCGGTTGAAGCACAGACCAACACCGTTTCCTGTGGCGCTGATGCCAGGAGAAGAGCTTCATCACCTGCGGACTTCGCGCTCGCATCCCAATTACGCATGTATTGGCCGGTTGATATGAACCGAGTCAACATGTTTCATCTCCTTTGGGCTTCCTGTTCGGATTCCAGACCAGCATCACAGATTACAGCCAGAAAGTTGCACGACGGTCCAGTTGGCTGGAGTCAAAAATGACGACAACAACGGCCCGCAAATATTTCGTGTCGACTCTGGCTTGGAATCTTGAGCTATTGAGCGTGCAGGTATGTTATGTACGTATACATTGTCACCTATATGCGTCTCTTTGCCAGACAAGAATGCCTCCCTACCCAACACTTCTAATAGTTCCGCACGGAGATTAAAACTGCGGGCCTCTCTATCGTCCATCAGCTAACTGGTGCGGAGGGTAAACACCTCCTAAACGGTCGCATTAGTTCAGATACGCCCTTCCGAGCCTCTGAGCAAAAGATCGGACTTGTCGGGCCAATTTCATAATGGTACTTGATGGTATCGATTCAGGATTCAAAGGTTCTGGCTTATTGATCTTCTGGCTCTTGAACTTGTTTAAGATGCTAGTCTATACGGGTCTTGCACCGTTTAATAACACTCGAGCATTTTGCGGTGGGCTGCTAGTACTCTGTAAGAAGTCAACCGCTTCTGAATGGAGACGTAGCCTGTATGGCCTTACTGAAGAAACTTGGCTACTTAACTACTAGTTAACCTTCCCAATAACATACCTAACTGCCTTTTGGAACATATAACTAAGCATCAATCTGTCATTACCCAGCCTTGGAAGCCGTCAAGCTCGGGTTCCTGGCCTCAAGTTAGAAAATTGCCGATTTTGGACATGGTGCACAGCCACTAGTTATTGCGCAGTTAAGGTTCTATCCGCGGGAAGCCTGCACAGCCTCTGTGGCTACAAGCAGGCTCATCAGTTGAGGGCCGGAATCCTCAAGAAAGTAACCGCCAATGTCCTCGCTCGTATCAGCTGAAGCTCGCAACTAACTCTCACCCGGTGGAACCTCTTGTCGCGCAAATGACGAATGAGGGGGCTGGGCTGTGGCTTGAGATGACGAAAAAGCGCCGGCTGTCCGTATGATACGCTTTGATTACCCTTTTTACGAGGGCTGCTTTGTATTATCAGCTGCAATCTTCAGCTGTCCGGAGGACGGAGTGTATGGATGGAGTATGGAGTTGTGGTCGAGAATAATTATAAAAGCGGGGGAATCCCCCCTCCTCCCCTTCAACAGTCATTAACATCAAACCCGATTTCAAGTTAAACTCACTTTCACGAGAATCTACTGATCCATCCTATCGTGCCTGACCGGCCTCTTCCACGCATCAATTCTTTCCTCTTACTCGATACCTCTATTATTCCAAAATGTCCGGCCCATACGACCAATACAACCAACAAGGCTATAATCAGGGCTACAACCAAGGCGGTTACGGCCAAGGCCAACAAGGAGGATATCCCCAACAGCCATACGACCAAAGCTACCCTCAACAAGGTTATCCTCAGGGCCAGCAACCCGGTTACGATCAGCAACAATACGGTGGCTACCCTCAGGGACAACAACAACAGCAGCAACAACCAGGGCAATACGGCCAATACCCTCAAGATCAGGGACACCAGCAGGGATACCCACAACAATACGGTCAACAGTAAGTTCTCATTCAAGCAAAATTCCCATGGTCAACAGGGAGATGCTAAATGACGATGGACAGGCCAGATCAACAAGGCGGTGCACCCGGCGGAGCCCAAGACGGTGAGCGCGGTCTCGGAGGCGCGATCACTGGCGGAATTGCTGGAGGTTATGCTGGATCCAAAGCCAATCATGGATTCATTGGCACCATCGCCGGCGCGGTGATAGGCAGCCTTGCGGAAGACAAGCTCAAAAAGCACAAGCACAGCGGTAGCGGGCACGGGCACGGCCATGGCCATGGCTCAAGCGGAGGAAGCCAGTTTAGCGGTGCCGCAAGCAGTCTCGGGTCGCTCTTTGGCAAGAAGTAGATGCTGCTCTTCCTGGGTTCTATATCAGTTTTGTCCGACATTTATCGTTGCTGTGCATGTATGCGTGCTGTGTTTATTTGATATATGGCTTTCTGTTTGTCGCGTTGGACTCATGAAGTGGGTGTTATCTGCTATAGTTTAATTTTCTTAATCTGGGAATCGAAAGAATACTGTCCTTCCAGGACATGGACCTATATTGACCTTCCCTTTCCAGCCTTGTAGGGCTGAGGAATTGATGGCCAGACAGTCATGGTGCAGCGTTACTCCGGAAGCGATCGGATGCACCGTGGGGCAAATCGGTATTGTCAGGCGGAAACAGATGCCAAGCCGAAAGTCAACGGCACTATTGTCAATTGGGTTAGCGTGCTATTTTGACCTCGCAAGGCTTGGCGTGAAGGAGAAGATATCAAAACCGATTCAAGTCGGGTGATTTCTCCTCATGACCACGTCCACAACCACCTCATCATGATAATAAGGCAACTCTGCAGGCGGCAAAGTGAGTGAACTATACTGTCGCGTGGCTGCCACCTCAGTAGTCGCAGAAGGCTAATTCGTCTGATGACAGGCCGAACGATTTTCGGTGCCCTTCGCCCAACCTGTCAGGTCCGTTTCAATTCGATTGAATCCAAACTTGTCGCTCGGCCTCCCAAGCCAGATGACATAACCCCGGAGCAGCATAAGTCCCTTAGAGCGCAGCGTATGTACCCGGATTAGCAGCATGTCACTTTCTCATAAACTAATTGCTTCTTGTCCGGCCCCAGGTGCTCAATTCACCGAACTTGGCTCCAATGTCAAGTCCGAATATGACCCACAACATTTGCTTCGCAATCCCCCACGACCTTCTGAAATTACTCTCGAACTCCTTTTAGCCTCTCAATCTCACCTTGGCCACGCTACCGCTCTCTGGAACCCTCGAAATTCGAGCTACATCTTTGGCGTCCGTGATGGAATCCACATTATTTCTCTCGAAGTCACCGCTGCATATCTGCGACGAGCGGCTAGGGTAGTCGAAGAAGTGGCTAGACGTGCAGGGTTGATTCTATTCGTCGGAACGAGGCCAGGTCAGCGCGGTGCGGTCGTGCGTGCAGCAGAGCTCGCCAAGGGCTATCACATCTTTGATCGCTGGATTCCGGGCAGCATCACAAACGGCCAGCGGATTCTGGACGAATGTGCACTAAAGGTTGTGGACGAGTTTGATAACGAGTTGCCCGAGTACACAACGGCTTTGGGAAAGCATCCCGTTTTGAGACCGGACTTGGTGGTCTGCCTGAATCCGCTGGAGAATACGGCGATGTTGTCTGAGTGTGCGGCTTATAATATTCCGACCATTGGGATTATTGATACGGATGCCGATGTGACCACGGTTACTTATCCGATTCCAGCAAACGATGACAGTTTGCGCTGTGTTGCCGTGATTGCGGGCGCGCTGGGCAGGGCTGGAGAAGCTGGTCAGAAGAAGAGAATGGAAGATGCACGGCAGGGTATCTTGCCGTATAAACGTGTTTCGAAGAAATGGTTCACGAAACCATCGGATTCACCAGAAGAGGGAAAGTATGAGGAATAATGCAGTTCAGAAAAATTGTACAATAGGGGTTATGCGTATGCGCTTCAAAGTTCAGTTAGGGGGTGGTCAAAGCTATGTACAGATTAGCAATTGATCTTTTGTCTACTCAAAGGCGATTGAGCGAGATTTGGAATAAAGCATAGACATGGATTATCGAACATTGTCAGATCTAGATCTCAAAAGATTCTAATAATATATACATCACTTTCTATAACATTGAAAACTCAGGTCAAACTCAATGTAGGAGGTATCACGCCAACATTGTTACTCCAAAAGGATTCGATTCCCGGTAGAAGTCCAACGCCTAAAACTTTTCGGCCCGTTATTCAATCAACTCACCCAAGTGCTCTCATAATTAATTCGACACTATGGAAAACAGTTAGCAAGGACCTTTTGAAGGAGAGGGTGGGGTTGAGTAAGTCTTACACAGCGAAGGTACCAGCAGACACAGGCATAGCCCTGAGCAACGTTGGGCCAATTCCCTTCCAGAATCCACCCAAGCCTTCAGCAGCAAAGGTCTTTTTAAAGCAGTCAATCATTCCCTGATATTTCTGCTGGGCTCCGAATCCATCGCTCTGCATCTTGCTCTTAATCACATCGAACGGGTAGCTGGAGAGCCATAGCGCTTCACCAGCCAAACCACCGTATGTAGCAACTTTGATACTTGAAATTTCGTCACGCTTGACCTGGTTACGTCTGGCTTCCCAATTCATCATGTATTCAAATGAGAGGAACCAGACGCCGTAGGCCTGTGCCTCTCTGAGAATCGTGACCGCTTCTCCTCTGTATAAGCCGCGGAGCACGCCTTCGTGGGCAGAAAGTTTCTTGATGCAGTCCAAAGGACCGCTGTAGAGACGATCTGCACCGTGAGGCTGGGTTTGTAGGCGGATACGGACATGTTCGATCGGTCCAGATATTACCGAATTAGTGACACCGGCGAAGGCTCCGGCAAGGTAGTACTGGGGGTAAGAGAGGTTCGTGGGGTGCCCTCGCTTTGCGTTGAATTCTTCAATTCGTCGACGGGCTTCATGAAATGCTCCGAATTGGACACTGACCTGGGAAAGGAATAGACTCGAATTAGGGCATTGCACAAGAGGAAAAAAGCTGTAGAGCGGTGGCCATTGTCAACATACACAAGCACCAATCCCAATCAACGGTGTAAGGGTTCCTTTATAGAAAGCCAATGGGCCTTCCTTCGACAGGATTTTGGGAGGCGCAATCAAAAGCGCTTGAATACTGGGTTGTGGTCTGCAGTCTGACTTTGACGATATCTGCCTGGCGTCAATTCTAGCCTCTTTACCTTTACGGAGGTAAATACGTACCAAATGGCTGGCCGAGTAAGACCTGCGCAATACCTCCGGCAGCGCCTGCGGAAAGGTCTTTGATAGTCCGCAGCGCGCCTTGCCCTTCGTGTCCTTTAATTTCGGCCTCCATTGCTCCGGCAATCTAGCTGCGCTGTGAAGATTAGTGGCACGTCGTACACCGGAGTGGCACTTAGACGGTCAATTCAATGAACCGTTAACGCCGTAGGCTTTGGGAAATAAAGAAATTGGGTCAACGGCAGGCGAGAAAAGTCTTTTGCGGGAATGCATCAGCTTCCCCGCTGAGAACGGAGACCGGGAGTCGCATTGCGGCGGAGAAGCGATAGGCAGCGCCCTGCTAGCCTGATTGGTTGGAATCTTTCCACCGGCCCCACTCCTTGAGATTACGTGATACTCGGCGATACTATCGGGCCGAAACAATTTTTGGGCTCTCAGTCTTTCCTAATCGAGTAAGTGCTTTTCGTGTTCGAGCAGCTTGAAATCCCAGAGGCATGTAGGGAACGGTGCACGTCTCGACCATGATGCGGAGGAGCCATGTTCTGAAGGTATGGGCACCGAGCTCATGGATTGTTGGGCAATGCCTGGTTTGCTAACTTTTCTCAGAAGGCCCTGCAATCCGACTGTCGCCAGCTCCGGTCCCAAGTCCGTTCCGCAGCGCGCATACCCAACAACCGATGCTTCCGACAACAGGCTAGGCAATTCGGGAGCACTATCTCACTTCGAAATGGCGATAATGGAGATGCTGCTGCCGCTTCCACTTCCGCCACATCGGGGCCCCCCAAGCCAAAGTTCGGAGGGGGATGGGCAAAACCTACATTCTCATCTGGACCCGCGCTTACAGCAGATGAAATCAACCTGAGAGACAAGCTCCTTACTCAGCGCGCCCAAGAAACCCTCCCGGCAGACCCTAAACCTATCGATGCCTCTACCACACAAGAAGCTCAGGCCGCTCAGGACCACTCTACGCCCGCAGTACCAAACGCGGAACGTGGGCCACCTGGCATGAGAGATGGATGGGGAAGACCTCCATTTAGATCGGAGCCCAAACCCGCTGGCTTTGTGACACAGAAGCCGCAGGCCCCTCAACAATCCTCACCAGCAAAGCCAAACGTGAAACAACAGCTACCTGGAACGGGAGATAGATTGGAGAGACCAACCTTTAGGCCTGCGCAAAACCCTGCAGGCACGACAATACAACAGCCTAGAATCCGTTTTGAGGGCGTGTTACCAAGAACTTCGAAAACCGGGTCTCCACCAGATAATTCTGTCAGCCGTGATAGACCTAGCTTGAATGACGGATTTATATCATTCAGACCAGGCCAAAAGCATACGAAAGCAGAACGTAACCAGCTCGAAAAGGCTTTTGGCTCCGCTCAAGGGCCGAAGTCGAGTTCCGTTGCCGAACGGGAGGCAAAATTCAGAGAAAGTCGTAACGACGCTTTGAGATTCACCGGATTTCGGAAAGTTACCTTGGACATCCCCGCCGCTTATAGCGCCGATGAGACAAAGCTTCAATTTTCCAATCGAGAGGAAGCATCGACCGATAACTTGGAGAGTCCCTTCAACCCGCGTACCAGCAAATCGAGTAAATCAACGCCAGAGTCAGATGTAGAAAAGACTGCATATAAAAATGCTGCCAATGATGTCCCGTATACACATAGGAAACAACGGAAGGAGCACCGGAAGAAGGCTATACAACATTTCGATGAACCGGAAGATCGTTTCGGTCTTTCCCGCAAATCCAAATATGACCTTGAAGATGATGACTCTAGAGAGTCACGAGCTCGACGGAAACAAGCACGGAAGGCGGAAAAAGATGCAAAGAGAAAAGAATACAACGCTCCCACCCCTATATATCTCCCAGAATTCATAAGCGTTAGCAACCTTGCTAATGCATTAGGGGTACGACCTTCGGCGTTTTTAAAATCACTGCATGAACTCGGCTTCGAAGAAGCAACCTTTGACCACATTCTTGATGCCGAAACTGCAGGCCTCATTGCTGCGGAACACAACTTTGAACCCATCATTGAGACAGCTGACAATGATTTGGTGGCCCAACCTCTGCCGGAGGATTCTTCAAACCTGCCACCACGACCTCCCGTTGTTACTATCATGGGCCACGTTGACCATGGAAAAACCACCCTCTTGGATTGGCTAAGAAAATCGTCTGTTGCAGCGTCCGAACATGGAGGCATTACTCAACATATCGGCGCGTTTTCGGTTACAATGCCTTCAGGCAAGCAGATAACTTTCTTAGATACGCCGGGCCATTCGGCTTTCCTCGAAATGCGACGAAGGGGCGCAGATGTGACTGATATCGTTATCCTTGTCGTTGCTGCGGATGATAGCGTTAAGCCTCAGACAATTGAAGCCATCAAGCACGCGAATCAAGCCAAGGTCCCCATTATCGTAGCGATAAACAAAATTGACAAGGAAGACACCAGTGTTCAAAGGGTGAAGCAAGATCTTGCTCGGCACGATGTGACCGTTGAAGATTTCGGTGGTGATGTTCAAGCCGTTTGTGTCAGTGGCAAGACAGGTCAAGGTATGTTGGAATTGGAAGAAGCAGCTGTGACACTGTCTGAAATGCTGGACCTTCGAGCGGACCAGGAGGGTAATGCTGAAGGCTGGGTTATTGAAGCGACAACCAAGAGAGCAGGGAAAGCAGCTACTGTATTAGTTAGAAGAGGTATTTTGAGACCTGGTGATATCATAGTTGCTGGAACAGCATGGTCTCGAATCCGAACTTTGAAGAATGAAGCTGGTGTTGAGGTTGAGGAAGCGCCACCGGGAATTGCTGTCGAAGTGGACGGTTGGAGACATCAGCCGTTGGCCGGCAGCGAAGTTCTTCAAGCCCCGACTGAACAAATAGCGAAAGAGGTTGTCGCTTTGAGAGAGGGGAAAGAAGAAAGCAAGCAGTTGAGCAGTGATATAGAGGCGATTAACGAGCTTCGCCAGCAACGTCGTCAAAGAGCACTTGCCGCAGAGCTCGCGGAAAGATATGGAGAACCTGTGGACGAACAAGCTGACAACGCTACGCCTAGCTCAAACGGCATCCCTTTTATTGTCAAAGCCGATGTTTCAGGTTCCGCCGAAGCCATCGTCAATTCAATGACCGCGGTTGGGAACAATGAGGTTTATGCCAAAGTCCTGCGGTCAGCAGTCGGCCCGATATCCGGAA